GTGTACATGCACAGTTGACCTTTTGTTCGTTTTGTTTCCGGGAAGCTGTGGTTTGACCATGTGATGTACATATTTGCGTGCATGATTAAACATCGACTTTCGAAATCCTGAACGTACGCAGGCAAAAAGCAAACAGTGTGCTGAATGGACATGAAACGACATGGATATATTAGGTATGTCACAGACGTGCACTCCATCTATCTGCCGGGTAGCCATCTGATACACCTCTCTACGTGTACACGTACGTTTCCAAGCAGCTAGTGAGCTTGGAAGTCGGATGTCAAGCACCTGGCTTTATAGCGGCAGCCAGCCAGTTACCCAACCATGTGGCTCATGAGATTGTAAGTTGTCAGTCATTTGGTCGGCGCAACGTTACGTGTAAGTGCTTGTGGCTACTCAACTAGTTTGCTTGTTCGCTGGTGGACTGTGTGCTTACTCGGCTGACTGTTGATGGTTCGCAGCCGGCAACTTGGTTTGATTTAATGGCAGATTTTAAGTATCCGTTGACATGCCATGAGAGTGAACGGAAAGCATCCTGTTGACAACATCTCTGGGCAGTTTAGGCGGTATGACATCATGGTGAACAGTTCCTATGCTAAATACGTATATGGCTTCGATGTCTAATGCCGATGTAACGACACAATCTGCGGCACCAGCTCAACCAGCTTCCCCTGGTACCTCTGCGACCGCTGCCTCTCCTGCCCCCCCTGCTTTTTCATTTTATTGCGGCTGCCACAATACGTCTGCCAATGAACATACATCCGAAAGAGCAAGCAACCTCAGCCACGTGCAGAGACAAACAGTCAACAAATACACACGCAAGCACACAGACACACACGCACGCAGACACAACACAAACATGCAGAGGTTTTACTTTGATATTCTGGATTAGGTCCTGTCATGAAAACATACACCAACGCAAGTATGCACACAAACATACTACAAGTTTCTGAGCTACTATCTCTCTCTCTTTTTCTTTCTGCCGGGCTTAGGGGTCACTGTCGTGACCCTCAGGCTTTCAGCCCGCCCGACCACCCATTGTGTTAATGAGTGGACGGCTTCTGGGGTCCCACTGACCGCGGTTCTGCACTACAGGGTAGGTTTCAGTTCCCCGAACTGCAAGCCCCGTCCCTTTACACTAGCGTACCCCCAACCTGCCTCATCGCCGCGCCCCTATGGCAGCCATTGACGGGGCTTGCACTTGGAGGCTGAAGAAATGCCGGTCGAATTTCCCCCCTGGGCTTATGCGCCTGAAAGGAGAGCAAGCAAAGAGTTAAGAATGAGGTATGCGGATCAGACTTCGTCGTTTAGCGACGGATGACAAAGAGTTGCAGGCAAGTGGAAGGAATATATCCCAGTAAACTCCGCGGTTGGTGGTTTCCCCTTTTCTCGACATGCTGGAAGCATCAGCAAAACCAGTGGACAATCCTAACGAAGCAGAAGCGAGACCTATTGCAACACTGTTGTGGGGACCACCATTTGGGTTCGCTTTCTTCAGTGTCAAAGTGGTTGCTACGGTGGTTCCCCCGCCTTTAAGGTGGAAGCAACAGCCGAACACAACACGTGCAGATCACAAAGACCGGCGGGTTCCCCGGCTAGGAGTTGACCAAAAGTGCTGCTCAAGGCTCAAAAATCAAAGGCATGTTACATCATGCAATCCCCCGGCATAAGGAAACAAGTGCATGCAAGGCCCCGTTGTCAAAGCAACCTAAGTTACAGCAAGCAATTCCCCCGGCAAGAGGGAACAACTGCAGGCAGGACCTTGCCACTCGATTAGGGCAAAGTTAGCCCGAAAGCAGAAGGAAAACTGATTTGCTCCAGCGCTCACTGCTCTTCAGAACTCGACCTTTGCGTCTCTCTCCCCCTCTGCCATGACTTGTGTTCTTGCACTTGTCGAACTTGCCAGTGCCCCTTTTGGGCTGCCATGGTATGCTGGAGCGTGTTGTTCACCGCCTCGGTGTCCCCGCCACAGTCACGATCCCTACGTTGTTGTACTCCCCGTCCAGCTTTGCTAAAGGAGACGCGAACCTTAGCCCGCTCTTCCAGAAAGAGGTTGATGAAGAAGTTCGTCCCCCCCAAGGCAAGAAGGTCCAAGGACAGGATCTTGCAGTCACTAGGTTGCCGCAGAAGTTGTAGTACGGCGAACTCCCCCTTCACGGTTATGGCTCTACCCGGCGCGGCCGGACTAGTTACTTGGAAGGAGGGCTGGGGCGGGCAGAGCTCCCGAGGCACAGTCGGAACCCCCCCCCCCACAGCTCCCCTTTGAGCTGGCGTGGATCAGGTCGGTCACGAAGTCGCTGTAGGCACCTTGAGCCAAAATGGCTATCTCTCTCTCTCTCTCATATTATGAGAAAGCAGAAGGCAAAACAAGGACGTTTTTCATGGACACACAGTTGCACTTGTACATACGCCTGTGCATTTACATATACCCAAACAAGCATACGTGTTTGTATTGCATGCTATGACATGAACATGTGTATATACACACATACATATACATGTGCATGTATGTCTGTCTTCCTGCCTGCATGTATATGTATCTATGCATATTATGTGTGTGTGTGCATGTATGCATGTGTGAATCAAAACTGAGCGTGCGCACGAGCATATCGGGTCCAGACATTTGTGAGCACGAACAAGTCACCTCTACAGAATTGCAACACGCACGCGCGGATGCATGTGCGCCGCCTGGGCATATCGTAGACACACCTGTGTCCTGTACTGCCTGCACGAGCAGCTCACCAAAATGTTGCACCTACACCCGTAGAGCCATACTTATGTCTGGTTGAATTCTTGCCTGCCCCCCATTTAGGCTGAATGATCCGTTCCGCATGACCAGTCTGCGAGGCAAGAAACTCACATACGTTCTGAATCGGAGTTCAAGAAGCATTCGTCTCAAGGCAGCCACGCAGCTTCATAAAAACCTGGGCGCTCAAGATGCCGAAGCACTGCTGCGCAGGAGGGATCTTTGGGGGCTTTCCGGCCTCAGGATTTCTGGAACCTACCTTCGCTACGTCCAAAGTGAGATTCAGGAAGCAGCAGCGTACATCGCATGCACCCGCCTTACATGCTGTGCTACCGCTGACCAAGACATGTAGTGCTTTGATTTTGAACATTTTGTGGATGTGGCAACTTCCGAGCAGATACAGAATAATTCGAACTCATCTTCACATGAGCAGATCCTGCGTTAAGTTCCAGATGCTCTATCTTTCATGTCCAAAACTCGGCTGCATGGAAGCCTCGACAGCCCGTACAGCACAGTATGAATACATCCGTGTGCCACCGTTGAGCCACCACAAGAAATGCAGCCGAAGAGCACCAGCCAATGGCAATGTATATTCATTCGAGAAGTGGCGGAGGATGCTCTCCTCCGGCGAAAGAATTGTCGTCGAAGGCAGGATTCTTCGTGCTTGTGGTACCAGGGAAGGAGTGCCACAAATGGAGAACGCACACTGTCAGTCGTGCAGGGAAAGAAGGATCAATCACGCTTCAATCACAAAGACACCATGACAGCTGGCGTTGTCATGCCGGTCTCAGCACCGATTGAGGCAATCGTGGTGTTGGTGGTAGTAGAGGGGCAGCAATAGAAGTAGGAGCAGTAGTAGTAGTAGCACTGTAGCAGCAGTAGTAGCTGTAGCAGCAGCAGCAGTAGCAGTACCAGTGGTAGTAGCAGTAGCAGTGGCAGTAACAGTAGCAGCAGCAGCAGCAGTAGCAGTCACAGTAGCAGTAGAAGCAGCAGCAGTAGTAGCGGCTAGCTAGTTAGTTAGGTAGTTACTTAGTTACTTAGTTCCTCGCACGCACCTAAGATGCCGCGTGGTTTTCCGCAGGTTTTCGGTTTGGAGGCCCATTGACGAAATGCAGCTGAAAGGTCAGAGAGTCAGAGCTACGGGTTCGGAACGAGTTCGAACCCTCATGCCAGTACACGCTTCAGCGTTCCTGAGGCTATGGTGTTGAGAGTACCCGGCATCCAAGGCTTCGCTCGACTCCCCGAATATCCTCGGGACTCTTGGTAGGAGCACAGAAGCCACCGCAAATGGGGATGTTGTAGATACCTGTGATGTAGGTTGGAATGTCAGATGAGGGAACCAGAGTTGGCAAGATCTGGCCAGCATGAAGCTCACAAAGCTAGTTTCCAACGGGCCAGGAAGATGCATGGGCACATGCATGTGAGGTATTTGAAAAGAGACAAAGGTATAGATATCGGCCTGGGCCCCTAGATACTACCAAAACCAGTTGGACACAGCTCGCCAGGATTCCTGGAGTACGGCGGGCACGGCAGAAAGGACTAGCTTCTCTCTGTAGTGCAACACTGAAAGAAACCATGAATCAAGAAACAAATCAGAGAAGGAAGTGTTCCTAACCGTCGATGGATGCTAGCTGCTAGCTACAGCCGCAGAAAGCCACCACCTTCTTTGCTGTATGCTGTTCATCTCCAAGTGGCATGTCAGGATGCGCTCCATGTTTGCTAAACCGTAGTCTGCTATGGAAGCCAAGAGGATCCTGCTAACGAGTGCCAGACTTGACTCAGAAACTTAAGCCATGGCAATTGAAGCGGATAGAAGTCAATGAGCACATGAACCTGTTCCTGCATTTGTAAGCGTACGTGCAGCCGCCGCTGTCTTGAGCAATCAACAGCAAGCCGAAGAAACGGACCACGATTGCAGCTTCGTGGACCGATGTACTATATTGTTGTGTTGCTACTACCGTTGATGAAACCAGTAGACCTACGACTTGTAGTCGTCCTTGCGTGTACAACTCTTGCCAGCCGCTGCGCGCCAGAATATAGTGCGTGTTATCATCGAACGAACCATGCGATCATGCAGCGTCGCCCATGCTCCGCATGACGACAAGATTCGAAGATTCGCGCACGGTCACACGGTTGTTTGGAGTTGGTGAAATCCGGGCCAGAGCCCAATGAATTCTCAATCTGATACGTTTGTCGGACCATCACACGACTCTCAGGCACAGTACGCGAAATCACGGAAGTGTTGCAACCCTGCCTCTTCGTGAGATGCCTGCGCACACTGACAAGCAGCATCTTCGTAGATCGAAAGGTGGGCGTATCTAGACAGTCTTCAGTCGTCAGAAGCAGGTCAAGGCTGGAAGTCTTAATGTGCATCATATTACCACTGACAGGATCCGGCGCACAGAGAGTTGTTCAGAAGACTTCCAAAACAACGTGTGGAGAACCTCCATGCTGTTGTATGGTGATGTAAACATCCATGCATCCATCCAATCCTCCATCTTAGCAATAGCCGTAGAGCAACGAAATAGTCACCCATGCTGTGCAGCCTGACACAAGCAACGCAGTAGGTACAAGAGCTATGGCATGCGGCTTCTGGGTCAATTGCTGTACATGTTGAGATGTTGCGCTTTACACGGTTTCTCGGGTGGCCTTTGAGAATGTGGGTCTGGGAGTCTAAGAAGTGAAAAAGCACAGTGAACAAGTAAACAAGACCGATGATAGCTTCCTCGACTCCTGACGGGATGGACGCACTAAAGAACAGGCTGCTGTCTGCTAGCCGGGTAGCCTTTGTCTCAAGGTGCGCCTGCTGCCTTTGCAGCCCGTGACCGCCCGCGATTGTGTTCTTTAATTGGGGTGATGGAAAGAAACTAAGTAACCAGTGACCAGCGACTGGGATTGATCGTGCACTCTGATATTACAGGAGTTCACCCTCCAACAGTGAGGCTTCATCCAAACCAGGATCACGAAACACCTTGCATGATGGACCTGGGTTCCGTTTTGCGAGCGAGCACATGACCTTGATGCTTCTACTTTCTACGACCTTGTGAGTCAGCGTCTTTGTGCCAAGCTCTAATTTTTCAAACACGCTACCACCGACCACCTATGCCCAAGAACGCACAATGTGATGAATGCATCTATGCTCCTGAAGGCCAAAGCCCCGAGTTGCGGTCTCTGCAAATTCGAAAACATTCCACCCAATTGGAAATCCGCTCTGGACAAGTGGCAGCTGCTCCTTCGCTTGCAGATGAAGCTGTCGCTGCTCCTCTAGCTCCTGCTGCAGCTGAGCCTGGGCTCAGAAGAAGTATGATGTCATGTTGGTGCTACCGAGAAATAGAATCTAAGAAGAACATCAGGGTTCAACCCCTGGAGGTAAGCATCAGGAAGATGCAGTGTGTCAAGTCGCCAGTCTCGTTTTCGCATAGTTTCCGCCCCTGCTACGGACGATCGCAGCCCTTGTAACGACCTCTCTATATCCAAACGATTAATACAGAAGATTGCCAGAGCACTTCTTTCCATGCAAGGTAGAGTCAGTAGAGTAGAGGTTGGAACCTCCGGCCTGTGTTGCGATCTTTTGCGGTATCTTCCTACATCTCTTCGCGCGCAGTAAAAAGTTCATCTTGACGATGATGGTGGCAGTGGTGAGCATGGCAATAGTGCCGGTGACGCAAAAACATGTGATGCCGGAGGCTGGTGATGGGTCGCGGGTCGCGGCGGCCACAGCAACACACTGGAGTCAGTATCCCTCACATCCCCTGTGAAAGCGCCTTCTCCACGGAGCTCGTGCCGACCTCCACCTCGAGCTGCTCACGAGTTTGAGCATGGAGGCGCCGCTCTTCGTCGAGCTGATCTTCCAGCTTGGCCTCCGGGGGCTCACAGGATTTCGGCCATCCCTTAAGGCCTACAGCATCGCCGTACAGCAGATCTGTACTTGTTGCTAGCTTGTCGCAGTCTCATGAAGGAGACATGCAGCCACCATCACGCAGCCTCGCCTTCATGACTTCGTGGGCGCCATGAGCGATTTCCAGCTGCTCCCGAGTTTGCGCATGGTGCTGCTTCTCGCTTTGGACTTGCTGCTGCAGCTCGGCCTGGGTTGCAGGCAAGAGTGACCTGATAGGAGCGTTGAGTGTGTCCTGTTTTGATTCGGTGAAGGTGTTGCATGTGGGCGGTGCAGATTGGATAGCTGTTCAAGTGGTTTGGGATACAGCGATACGGACCGACAAACTGGCTAGTGACTTCGCACAGTGACCTGCCAACAACCACCGCGGATGGAAACAGTTCTCTTCAGAAAGAGCCGCGGATGATACCTTCTAAGTCCTGTCTGTATGTTATGTATGTACTGTATGTAAGCATATCTATATACACATATATTTGTTTATTTATTTATTGATACCATACGCACACATAACTCAACGATCACGTACTCTGGGGATGTCCGGGGAAGTTGCAACGGGTTGAAACACAGGGTCTTCAAGGTCTTTCTCTGCATCGCGCCTGGACGGACAACAATCGCGCTGCATCACTGGCTCCGGCTTCTTTCAGAGACACTGCCTCTGCACAGTCTGCTCGGCACTGCTCCAGCGACCTGGGGTGGGCCCACACACAAACGCCAACGCTACAAGCTGCTGGCCTCCCGGCAGGGGATGAGCTCAACTTTCACCAGCTGCACACATGGAAAGAGCACATCTGGCAAGAGACTGAAAAGCACCCTTGGCCCTTGCACCCATCCCTGATTTTAGCAACCTCAGCCGGGCGGCTCTAGCAGCTGAGCCTTCTCCAAGGCAGCTTCTTCGGACGTGGAGCGTGCTTTAGCAACGGCTTCGGCATGCTTTGATTTCCATGCATCCAGCTGCTCTGAGAGATTCTCCAGCTTGTCTGCGGCCTCTTTGAACGCAACTTCTCCACGAGACAGGTCATGCTGCAGACGCTGGATGGTGGCATTCAGCTGTTCCACATCAGATGCTCGGCCTCCGCGCTCTGATACGAGCTCAACACGGAGCTGGTCCAGCTCCGACATGACAGCGTCCACATCATCTTTGGCTCTAGATTGCAAGGCATCGCCTCTCTCCTTCTCTGATAAGTACTGGGCCTGCAGCTCTTCGATCCTGGCCAGGGCACTCCTGTGCTCCACAGCGTGCCTCTCGGCCGCTTTGGAACCTGCATCCCGTAAATCTTTGAGCTCATCATTTGCTTTTCTCAGCTCCTGGCTTCAGCCCAATCCGACTGAAAGAGTCCAACTTACCTTCTCTGAAGCCTGGACGCCCGATCCACAACTTCGAAGAGGTCTCTAATTCACTCCCTCGTCCGCAGTCGTTGACTTGTTTCTTGACAAGACTCAGAGTTTTCACAGCTCAGGGTTCAGGGACACCCAACACCCCAACTGGCCTTCCTTGGACCTTCCATGCTGAAAATTCTACACACGGCTTGCCACTTGAGCCTACAAGCCCCGACATAGCAAAATCAGGGACTCAGCCTGACCAAGCTCACCCACTACTTCGAGCCCTCTCTGCTCGGTCTTATCCGGTCCTGCTCCGTTTTGAGCCTCTCTGTCTCGGCAGCACGTTCACCGTCTGCCCTGCGCTCCTATGGGCAGGTTAGGCGAGGCCCCCATTTGGGACTCGTGCGACCGGGGCTGCAAGGTGTTGAGCTGGAACGGTTTCAGTTTCAGGTTTGACATTCAAAAGCTTGGCGCTGTCGGATGTCTGCAGGGCTTCTGGCATCTACCGGGCAGCTTCACATCCTTGTGTACAAGCTCCGCAGGAAGGAAACAGCAGTAGTAACTAGAAAGAAATTGAAAGTCGGGATGAACAAAGTCAGAGTGGGATCCAACTTCCAGGGCATGATTCTCTTACAGCCGGATGAAAAGCCGTGAGCGACCACTTATCCAACCATGCGCACAGATCTCATGGCACCCGCAAGGAGACTATGTAGAGTCCTTCTACTTGAAGGGCCGAGCGGACAAAAGCGACCACGAGGGAAGTGGCAGCTGTGCATTGTAAATGAGATGTTGGTAAGCGAACGTAATTGACGCAGTGCTCCTGGTATGCTGTGTTGCGACGTGGCTCATCAAACTCAAACCTAAGCCTGCGCTGAAAGACGCACGGCAAAGCTCGCTCCTCAATGCAAGGAACCATAGGAAGCCTGAGACGTTTCTTCACCTTCGGGTGTCGTGCCTCATTTCGTGCGTTCTTTCTCGCGTTCTGACTTCATGTGTTCATTCACTAGTTACTTATCTCCCTCCTCATACGTCTCTTTGTTGCTTCATCTGTTTGGTTCGTTATGTCGTGACGCTGTGTAGTAGTTTCGTTGTTAGTTCACTTCTGTCGTGCATGATTTGTTTCGTCAACTCTTAATTCCTCTTAACATGTTTACGTGTTTTATTTGGTTGCCTAGTTCCTTTATTGCTTCCCTATTTCTTCCTGCGATGGTTGTGTGTTTTGTTCCTTATGTGTCTAGTTTGATGTTTTTCTTTGCTTCATTCGTGCGCTTGTTCTGTATTCGTGTCGCTCTGTCGATGTTTCGATGCTTCATTATTTCTGCAATTCGTCATGTGTGTTCTTCCGTTCGTTAGTTGCTTCTGCTTCCAGGTGTCTCTCTCATTCTTCCTCACTTCATGATTTTGTTTCTGGTCGTTCGTTCAATCGTTGCTTCTGTCGTCATGTCTTGCTGTCTTTCGTTCTTTCTGCTTCTCGGGTTCTGTCGTTCTTTCTGTCGCTACTTGGTTCGTTCATTCTCTCAACCTTTCCAGGTTTCTCTCGTTCTTTCTTTCTTTCTTGCTTTGTTTCTGTCTTTCGCTTGTGCGCTCCCTCGTCCCCGGTGATAAGAAAAGAAGAAGCAAGGGCCCCTTCAAACTCGTCGGTGCCTGTGCTTGTCACGGGTCGGAAAAGATGCCTGCTGTGAACGCTAGGCAATGCTGCTTTCTTCAGTTGTGCAGATGTTTGCTGCGGCGATGCTGCGGAATAATAGCGGCTTTGCTGTCTGTTGTGCTGACACAAAACATCGAAACACAACAACCTTCCTGCTTGACAAGGCAAGAACGACAACTCCCGCAAGCTCCAAAGTAAAGTGAGTTCGGGAAGTCTTCAGAGATCTTGCGCTCGCTAGTCGGACCACTTTAGCTCCCTTCCACCCCTTTGTCCTGCTCGGCAGCAAGGTCGTTGCGAAGCCTAAGCTGTGGAACCCCGGTTGTATAGTCTGCTCCAGGTGTGGGTTTAAGAAATCTAGCAAATCAGAACAGACTTGTGCCAGGAAAGATTAGCAGCTGCAGAATTTCGAAGGTCAGCCCCTCCACCTCTTCGCTTCTCTTGGCCCCTAGAGCATCCCCTCTTTCAATTGTCGCGGCAAGTTGGGCTTGTAGTATTTCAATCTTCTGCGTGAGTTCCCGGATCTTTGCCGATGCCTCATGTTCTTTTCTCGAGCTTGCTTCCGCTTGACTCGCAAGCGCCCCCTGCACTTCTTGGAGTGTGGCCTGCAATTGCTGCGCATGTGCCGCTTCTCTCGATGCATCTGCTGCTCGACCTTCTCGCTCAGCCGCGATTTCGGCCTGAAGCCGCTCTGTCTCGTCCTTGGCATTGGCATCCAAAGCATGACTTCGTTCTACTGCAGACGCAAGTTGCGTCTGCAGTGCTTCAGCCTTCTCCGCGAGTTCTCGGATTTTGGCCGCTGCATCTCGCTCCTGTGGCAATAGATGCGGCATGGTTCAATGCCTGGCACCTTGGGAAGGAAATATTACGAGCCTCCTCAGACGGGCTCCTACCTAGGATATTCGCGGGACACAGACCGCAATGGCGGATCATCCTTACTCATTTTTGGTGCCGCCGTTGCAGAAAAAGATCGTGCCAATGATCATGACAATGACAGCTACAGCCACATTGAGAACTTCGGCTAGTCTTATATGATTAGTGACATCAGAAGCAGCATGGCACTACGAATAACACGGATTTGAAAACGGAGCACCACCACCGCCATCCCTTTCATCAGGTCATCCTCGCATACTCATCATCACCAGCATCACGTCATCATCGTCGTCGTAATCACCATGATCGACTCCGCTACTGAGTTCGGCACTCACGCCATCACCGTCGTCATCATCGTGCTCATCACCGTCATCAACGGATGGTACTTCACTCCAGACTGCCGTGTATCACGAATGCTGCGTTAAGAGTTCAATTGAAGCTCGTTCACTGCGAGTTGGGATGTGTTTTGTGTTGTCTTTGGTCTCATCCTTGGCCTTGGCCTCCAGGGCATCAGCCCGATCCACTGCGGCAGCATTCTCTTTCTGCAATGCTACAATCCTGTCGACGAGCTCGTCACACTTGGCCGAGGCATCTCGCTCCTGCTTGGAACTTGCTTCGACTTGACTCGCAAGGGTCCCATGCAGCTCGTCGATAGTAGCCTGCAGCTGCTTTGCATGCGCTGCTTCTCGCGATGCATCTGTTGCTCTACCTTCTCGCTCAGCTGCGACTTCGGCACGAAGCTGCTCCGTCTCATCCTTGGCCTTGGCCTCTAGAGCGTCACCACGTTCTGCTGCAGAGGCAAGTTGGGCTTGCAGTGCCGCAACCTTCTCTGTCAGCTCCAAGATCTTTTCCGATGCCTCTCGCTCCTGGGTGGAACTTGCCTCTGTCTGACTCGCCAGGGTCCCCTGCAGATCTTTGATGGTGGCATGCAGCTGTTCTGCATCTGCTGTTGCTCTCGAAACATCTTCCGCGCGACTTTCCTGCTCGGCCGCGACTTGTGACCGAAGCTGTTCGAGTTGGGATGTGACGTGATTCATCTCATCCTTGGCCTTGGCCTCCAGGGCATCAGCCCGATCAACGGCGGCAGCATTCTCTTTTTGCAGTGCTACAATCCTGTCGACGAGCTCGTCACACTTGGCCGAGGCATCTCGCTCCTGCTTGGAACTTGCTTCGACTTGACTCGCAAGGGTCCCATGCAGCTCGTCGATAGTGGCCTGCAGCTGCTTTGCATGCGCTGCTTCTCGCGATGCATCAGTTGCTCGACCTTCTCGCTCAGCTGCGACTTCGGCACGAAGCTGCTCCGTCTCATCCTTGGCCTTGGCCTCTAGAGCGTCACCACGTTCTGCTGCAGAGGCAAGTTGGGCTTGCAGTGCCGCAACCTTCTCTGTCAGCTCCAAGATCTTTTGCGACGCCTCTCGCTCCTGGGTGGAACTTGCTTCTGTCTGACTCGCCAGGGTCCCCTGTAGATCTTTGATGGTGGCATGCAGCTGTTCTGCATCTGCTGCTGCTCTCGAAACATCTTCCGCGCGACTTTCCTGCTCGGCCGCGACTTGGGACCGAAGCTGTTCGAGTTGGGATGTGACTTGTTTCATCTCATCCTTGGCCTTGGCCTCCAGGGCATCAGCCCGATCAACGGCGGCAGCATTCTCTTTCTGCAATGCTACAATCCTGTCGACGAGCTCGTCACACTTGGCCGAGGCATCTCGCTCCTGCTTGGAACTTGCTTCGACTTGACTCGCAAGGGTCCCATGCAGCTCGTCGATAGTAGCCTGCAGCTGCTTTGCATGCGCTGTTTCTCGCGATGCATCTGTTGCTCTACCTTCTCGCTCAGCTGCGACTTCGGCACGAAGCTGCTCCGTCTCATCCTTGGCCTTGGCCTCTAGAGCGTCACCACGTTCTGCTGCAGAGGCAAGTTGGGCTTGCAGTGCCGCAACCTTCTCTGTCAGCTCCAAGATCTTTTCCGATGCCTCTCGCTCCTGGGTGGAACTTGCCTCTGTCTGACTCGCCAGGGTCCCCTGCAGATCTTTGATGGTGGCATGCAGCTGTTCTGCATCTGCTGCTGCTCTCGAAACATCTTCCGCGCGACTTTCCTGCTCGGCCGCGACTTGGGACCGAAGCTGTTCGAGTTGGGATGTGACTTGTTTCATCTCATCCTTGGCCTTGGCCTCCAGGGCATCAGCCCGATCAACGGCGGCAGCATTCTCTTTCTGCAATGCTACAATCCTGTCGACGAGCTCGTCACACTTGGCCGAGGCATCTCGCTCCTGCTTGGAACTTGCTTCGACTTGACTCGCAAGGGTACCATGCAGCTCGTCGATAGTGGCCTGCAGCTGCTTTGCATGCGCTGCTTCTCGCGATGCATCGGTTGCTCGACCTTCTCGCTCAGCTGCGACTTCGGCACGAAGCTGCTCCGTCTCATCCTTGGCCTTGGCCTCTAGAGCGTCACCACGCTCTGCTGCAGAGGCAAGTTGGGCTTGCAGTGCCGCAACCTTCTCTGTCAGCTCCAAGATCTTTTCCGACGCCTCTCGCTCCTGGGTGGAACTTGCCTCTGTCTGACTCGCCAGGGTCCCCTGCAGATCTTTGATGGTGGCATGCAGCTGTTCTGCATCTGCTGTTGCTCTCGAAACATCTTCCGCGCGACTTTCCTGCTCGGCCGCGACTTGTGACCGAAGCTGTTCGAGTTGGGATGTGACTTGATTCATCTCATCCTTGGCCTTGGCCTCCAGGGCATCAGCCCGATCAACGGCGGCAGCATTCTCTTTCTGCAATGCTACAATCCTGTCGACGAGCTCGTCACACTTGGCCGAGGCATCTCGCTCCTGCTTGGAACTTGCTTCGACTTGACTCGCAAGGGTCCCATGCAGCTCGTCGATAGTGGCCTGCAGCTGCTTTGCATGCGCTGCTTCTCGCGATGCATCGGTTGCTCGACCTTCTCGCTCAGCTGCGACTTCGGCACGAAGCTGCTCCGTCTCATCCTTGGCCTTGGCCTCTAGAGCGTCACCACGTTCTGCTGCAGAGGCAAGTTGGGCTTGCAGTGCCGCAACCTTCTCTGTCAGCTCCAAGATCTTTTCCGATGCCTCTCGCTCCTGGGTGGAACTTGCCTCTGTCTGACTCGCCAGGGTCCCCTGCAGATCTTTGATGGTGGCATGCAGCTGTTCTGCATCTGCTGTTGCTCTCGAAACATCTTCCGCGCGACTTTCCTGCTCGGCCGCGACTTGTGACCGAAGCTGTTCGAGTTGGGATGTGACTTGTTTCATCTCATCCTTGGCCTTGGCCTCCAGGGCATCAGCCCGATCAACGGCGGCAGCATTCTCTTTCTGCAATGCTACAATCCTGTCGACGAGCTCGTCACACTTGGCCGAGGCATCTCGCTCCTGCTTGGAAGTTGCTTCGACTTGACTCGCAAGGGTACCATGCAGCTCGTCGATAGTGGCCTGCAGCTGCTTTGCATGCGCTGCCTCTCGCGATGCATCGGTTGCTCGACCTTCTCGCTCAGCTGCGACTTCGGCACGAAGCTGCTCCGTCTCATCCTTGGCCTTGGCCTCTAGAGCGTCACCACGTTCTGCTGCAGATGCAAGTTGGGCTTGCAGTGCCGCAACCTTCTCTGTCAGCTCCAAGATCTTTTGCGATGCCTCTCGCTCCTTTGCAAAGCTTTTGATTTAACAAACTTGTAGGTTTGAGGTTGTTGATGGTTGAGTCCATATGGACGGGGGGCATATGTGGGGCATAATGGCGGACATGCGATCGGAGGCATGATGGGGCGGCTCCGGGGGGGGGGGGGGGGCATGTGGAGACACTTCTCCTGAACTGAGAGGCATCATCGGACTGTCGACATGCAGACAAAACAGGCAAGTCTGATGCGCATTATATAAATCTATATAAATCTATATAGTTCGTTTACCAGTCATTGTGCAACAACAAGCCGGATCATGTAGTTCTGACCGCGCATTCAAGTTGAGAACGACGGAGTCATAACCAGCATAAGACTGCACATGGCAAAGACAACGACGATGGGAGCGACATGCTTCCCTACCATTTACTCAGAAATGTATCAGTCCTGCCTCTGAAACGGTAGGCCTGAACTCGTAAACCAGCAACAATATTGGGCCTGCCGCGCGCTCTCCAACTGCTCTTGCAACTCCTCATGACGCATGTTACAGGGATCGGCGATGGTCTGTGGAGGCATTGGTGGGGTAGGACAACTTCCCTACCAGAGAAGCTAATTGTCCCTGCATAGATACGGGGAAGGCGTGGCAGCGAGTTCCAGAGTGACCGCCGGAAAAGTGACGTTCGGAATTTGCTTGCAGGGAATCTGGAATCTATGAAGCGCCGCAGCCCCCGGCAGCCAACCAGATCAGCACACACACACACACAAACAATAAAAACAACAGTCGTGACAATGCATGTGGCAGTCGATCCATGATCATGTAAATGACGATGGTAGGCACGACTCTCGGAAACCTGCCTCCTCCAGCTTCTTTGTTGCAGCATCTTTGGCTTGCATCTCTTGGGTGATATCACTTACCTGCGAAGCTCAAGCGCCGCAACTTGACATTTGTGGTCCAACAGGGGCGATGTGAACCCTGAATGCGATCATACAATAACCAGGCGGGGATGCTGTAGTAGCATGCACAAGCTCGGACACGACGGAAGGTCGTTTGAAGTCGCTCCTCTCTATCACCTTCGCTTCTGCATCGAATGACACTGGAGAGTATGCAGTTCCTCCATAACCTTGTTGAGACAAACTGATTTGTTGGAATCTCGGCACTGGGCACAAGCTTGCAACATCCTGCATCTGGATGCAGCGTTTCGTGCACATAGTTCAGTCATCTTCCAGCTCGCAGCGAAGATAGCCCCTTATACCTATCAAAAACTCGACTTCGGTGGGACCCATGTGATAATTAACGGTCCATGTTTACAATCTTCCCATTCCTCAGTGCTTCTTTCTCTAGGGTTCTGAACTCTTCAGTTGCTTGCAGTCCCTTGCAATCCCTGCACTCCTCGTCACTGTGGCTCTGGCAGCCTGCCCCTTACATCCCCGCGTCCCTATGGCTCTTGCAGCCTGTGTTCCCGGTCAATGCCTGCGGTCCTGCGAGAGCTATGGCAAAACAAACGTCTGGGTAAAGAACTCAATTCACACCTAGTACGCACTCGATTTTGCAATCGTAACGTTTCGTATGCAACCCAGTGTGGAATCACAGGGTTTCAGAAGATGTGATAAGCCCCGGCCCCAGAATCTATGAAATACGACTAACACGACCAGGATTACCGTGACCGGGCCAGGACCACGAGAAGACCCCAGTATCCCTCAGCGTGCACTGGCGATTCCGCAGGCACCCTTGCCGCAATGCTAACGACCGTTTTTGAACGTCGCCAGGGCACCACAGCCAAACTGCTCCCCCACGTACTGGCTTGACCAAACTGCTTCTCCCCATGTACTGGCGATACTTGGACATTTCGAAGCCAAACTGAGGCCAATGTTTTCGAACTCATAATAAATCGTGGACGCGACCGCACGCGGATCGACATGAGCACAAATTGCATAGCATGTCACAGCCGGAGCGTGTCGCGCGCGCGCATGGCACTCGCCTTGCGATCCTCGAGCGAACACTTACAAACCTCTTTGCTCGCAACCTAAGCAGCCCATAGCCATAGTCCATAGTATGTACCACAGTGGCCTGGAACTTAGATTACCCACGGAGAGCACCAGCTCCAAGCCTTCTGCTCAGAGTCCTTGAGCAGAAGCTCTTTCTTTGTTACCTGTCGGAGATCATGTCGAAGTTCATATTAACCATCGAACCCTTAATGCCTTAATTCAGAGCCGTAGCGTGGCTTCAGGATCTGGGGCCTGGGGGTTACTGTCTTCTATCTAGGACCAGTGAAGTTCAAACCAGAACACGTTCAGTATCGGGCAATTCGATTAGCCCGAGTGGAGCATGCGCAGCGTCAGGAATCCACGGCTAGCTTCTCTGATTTCCGATCCCGCGCTCTACGTCTACGTCCAGCATTTCGATAGCACACTCGGTCCGGTACGCATCCGCGTTTCTTGACGTTCGGCCCACAACCCTGTCCTTTCCATATCTTTCCATTGAAGCTTCGTTGTAAGACATCGAGCGATGAGCAAGTTTCTAAAACCATGATCGAGAAGACTACTGGGGTGATGGTGATGACAGTGGTGATGTCGGTCCTGATGTTGTTGAGTGCTGATAATGGTGGTCATGATAATGAAGACGAAACAGTTGATGACAGTCGACCTTCCCACTGCCTGCAGTGGTCTAGCCGGTTGCGATACTCGCGATGGAAGTAGCATTGCCACACCGATGACCATTTATGAACTTGCTTTCGTTTGTATCACTCGCATACGTATTGCTACCATGCTTATCATTGCAGATTAGCAGTTGCTTCCCGTGCAGATTTTTCTGGTCACTAGTAGTAGTACTCGTTCTACGAGCTTAATAGTCACTAGCCATGTCGTTCTCAGCGTCACTCAGTACGAACTAACTGCATTAGCAATCTCTTGAAAGGCAACGTTGTTAGTCTTCGTGCTTGCTTTACAGGTGCTGGCTGTTGTTCAATGATTCTCTGTCTGTGGTTTCTGTTCAATAAGACATTTGCGACAAGCCGGCATTCTCTTTCTTACTTTCGAAAATGATGCCTCTACTGTTCTGAACGGTTGCTTTGGTCTTGTCTGCCTGTTTCGAAAAAAGGCTGTTCTTCCTTCTACAATCATGTAACTGCGCGGTGAGTACCCCGGTAGCAGGGACCTGGACATCTCACTCCGAACGAGCTGTCCAAACAAAGCACGGTCTAGGTGCTGATGCGAAATGACAGTCACACGTCATCACTGATTCCGAACTGAAAGATGAGATCTGGAGCGTCGGGGATTCGCGCTTTATGAATCCCGGTCCCGAACCCTTGCACCAAAGCACTGCCAGCCTCGGAGTCAAGAACAGCCACCCGTTCCAGGAGATCGTCGTTGCGCTTGCGCGACTCGTCCAAACGCCTGGCGGGACAAGATCTAGATCGGAGTTTGAATCCAAGGCAGTAAATCACCCAAACGTTTCAAACAGAGGGCTTGGGGTCCAGAACTTCCTGGTCTCGGGTGTGTGCGGTTTAGCTGGCGTACGAGGCTGGGGCTGCGATTGGAGCGGCGGCGACTTCGTGTGGAGTCGTACTCTGAGCCTCGAGGCGCAGAGAGTCCCCGAAATCCCAGCACCGGGCGCCTTTCGAGCTTCAGCACATCATCCCGCACCTGTCCGGACGATACTGGAGGACCAGGACCGCGGATCTCACTTGCAAGAGCCCCCTATCTAGTGCAGGACTGAACAGAATTAGCGAGCTCACAAATTACGAGAAGATTTTAGTGGGATGCTACGCTTATGCTCAACAGCTTCAGTCTGAAATGGGCATGGGTCAAGAATCCACTCTCCGTCAACGCCGACAGTAGAGCGCTCTGCATCAAACGTCGCATGCCTTGGCGATTTCGCGATTTCTCTTGATGAGCTCCGCCTCCAGCTCTGCCAGGTCCCCTTGGTGACTGCGAATCTCCGTGCTATCAGGCAGATGCGGATGATGGAGCTTGGGGCTCCAATGTGCTGGTGTACCGAAACCTGAATTCGAATCCTGAATAGTAAACGGCGGAAAAGCACCTTGAGCGGACATTGCGAAGCCTGTCAATTCGAACACTGCCCAACAAAACTAGAAGACAATTGGCCCGAAAGCATCATCAGCGAAGATTGTGGGGCTATGTGATAGATCCAGTGTATAGGATCGTAAAGTCACAGAGTCAAGAGTCATAGAGTCCATGAGTCATGAGTCATAAAGTCATAGAGTTGCAGTGAGATAGCGTCATAGAGTCGTAGTGAGATAGAGTCACTGTATAGGATCGTAAAGTCACAGAGTCAAGATTCGACCAAGTCAATCCCTGTGAAGGGTTCCGCGGGCACCGCAAAATGTGTAACTTCACCTCGCGTTCGAACACTCGACAACGCCAATCTGTGTGAAGGGTTGCAAAATTCATCTCAAGGGTTGCAAAATTCATCTCAATGCTCATCCAAAAATTGCAACTTTACCTCGCGTTCGAACACTCGATTTTGCAATCCCTGTGAGGGGTTGCAAAATTCATCTCAATGCTCATCAATAATTGCAACTTTACCTCGCGTTCGAACACTCCACCACACCAATCCCTGTGAAGGGTTGCAAAATTCAGCTCAATGATCATCAAAAATTGCAACTTTACCTCGCGTTCGAACACTCCACCACGCCAATCCCTGTGAAGGGTTGCAAAACTCAACTCAATGCACATAAAATAATCCATCTCAATGCTCGTCAAAAAATGCAACTTTACCTCGCGTTCGAACACCCGACCACGCCAATCCCTGTGAAGGGTTGCAAAATGCCAATCCCTGTGAAGGGTTGCAAAAAAAAATGAACTGAACCCAAACCCTGTGAAGGGTTGCGCGGCGCCCGCAAAATGTGTAACTTTACCTCGCGTTTGAACGCCCGAGGAAGCGAATCCCTGTGAAGGGTTGCGCGGCGCCCGCACGATGTGTAACTTTACCTCGCGTTTGAACGCCCGAGGAGGCGAATCCCTGTGAAGGGTTGCGCTGGGCGCCTAAAATGTGTAACTTTACCTCGCGTTTGAACGCCCGAGGATGCGAATCCCTGTGAAGGGTTGCGCTGTAACTTTACCTCGCGTTTGAACGCCCGAGGAGGCGAATCCCTGTGAAGGGTTGCGCTGGGCGCCTAAAATGTGTAACTTTACCTCGCGTTTGAACGCCCGAGGAGGCGAATCCCTGTGAAGGGTTGCGCTGGGCGCCTAAAATGTGTAACTTTACCTCGCGTTTGAACGCCCGAGGAGGCGAATCCCTGTGAAGGGTTGCAAAATGTGTAACTTTACCTCGCGTTTGAACGCCCGAGGAGGCGAATCCCTGTGACGCTGACGCGTGAACGCCCGAGGAGGCGAATCCCCATTCCCGATGGACGCTGACGGTGCCACCCCCGGCTTTAAAAGAGTAATTATTAAGTAAGTTAGTAAGTTAGTAAGTTAGTAAGTTAGTAAGTATAAGTTAGTAAGTAAAGTTAGTAAGTAACAGTAAGTCGTAAGTAAGTAAGGTAAGTAAGTAAAGTCAAAAGTAAAGTAAGTTAAGCAAGTAAGTTAAGTAAGTAAGTTAAGTAAGTAAGTTAAGTAAGTAAGTTAAGTAAGTCAGTTAAGTAAGTAAGTTAAGTGTGTAAGTTAAGTGTGTAAGTTAAGTAAGTTCAGTAAGTCAGCAAGTAAGTCAGTAAGACAAGTAAGTCACTAAGTAAGTTAGGTAAGTAAGTAAGTCAGTGAGTCAATCAGTAAGTAAGTAAGTCAGTATAGCATACAGTCAAGTAAGTTCTGTGTCTGTCATCTATGTACTCATCTGGGCGGCTCCGCCCGGAAGAACCCTTCGCGATGCTTTCGGGAACAGGCACCGAAAAAATTGACTCAAAAACGAAAGACCTATGTTGCTGTGTCGGCATTAGACCCCACCGCAGTT